AGGGCGGGCACGGCCACACGCCACAGGGCAGATCCTGCACCCACGTTACTTTGAAACACTGTAAAATAATCACCGGGGAATAACACGCTCCAGGCAAATGCAAACTGCTGCCGTGACGTCCTCATTTGCATCTCCTAATGAGATCAATTAATTTCCACTGCAGGGAGAGGCAAGAGGGGACAGCAGGGCTTCACCGAGGGCTGGCAGCATCAGTGTCTCGCGTGGCCGCGGAGCAGCACTCACGTTTTGACGTAGGGGGCGGAGGAGCCGTTGGCATCCATGGCGGCCAGGTGGGCGCAGCGGATGATGCCCACCAGCAGCCCCTGCTTCTGCGAGCTGTACTTGAGGGAGATGAGGATCCGGCCACGCTCCTCCAGCGACTTGTCCTCTGTTTTATCTATCTGGGGGAGGGAACGCACCCAGTCCGGGGGCTGCTCTGGGACACAGCCGCGGCCCCGCACCCACCTCCCCGGTGTGAGGGATACTCTCCCCATCTCTGATCACGTCTGAGGGGTCAAACTACCCCACGCTCCCACGTGCCGCAGGGACAAGCTGCTGCATCTGTGGGCCCATAGCAGGGGACGCTGCTCTGAACCCCCCCACTCACTGGCAGGGGCTCCCCACTCACTGGCAGCTGCTTCTCCAGGCAGATGTTGAAGTTTTTGGTCTGGTTGGGCTTCAGTTTCTTCAGCGGGATCCTCGTCTCCCCAATGAACTCGTTGTGGCGGAACTTGTCCTCGTCGCAGACCGAGATCCTGCAATGAGCACAGGGTGAGTGGGGCTGCCGGGGAGAAGGGAGGCGATGGCATGAGGGAAGAGGCTGCCCCGTCACGCTGCAGGTCCCCCAGGCCAGTGGCCGGGCACCTCCTTCGCAGGCAGCCTGCGAGCATCAATCCAGCGCTACAGCCCGGCCAGGGCAGCTCACGGTGTTTAAATGTGACACCCAATATCTTGGTCTGCTTTACCTCCGCAGCCGAGACCTGAGGCTGCCGGGATGGAGGACGGGCCAGGTCTGGGGAAGCAGAAGGATGCGGGAGGCAGAGCCCGTGCTACACTGCATCTCCCAGATCCATCATGCAGCCGCCCACGCGGAGCTACCGGCATGTCCCGGCTGGGCCCCACGGCCACCACGGCCATCTCTCCTGCTCAGACCCCTTCCTGGCCAGGGCTCCTGCACCCCTTGGGATGGCTATCACCCCCCCCAGGGACTGGGGTCCCTCCAGGGAGATGCTCACAAACCCCGAACACCACAACGCTGCGGTGCCGCAGTCACTGTGTCTAACACACGCCCCGACCCAGGCACTGTCGGAAAAGCAACCTGGGGCCTCGAGCATCCTAATGGCTCTTCCATTAAAAATTCAAAGTCATTGGTGACTCAAGCGAAACTATTCTGAGCCACCACCAGCCCAGCTGCATCCTGCCTGGCCAAGGACGCTCCTCCTAAACCCGCTCCGGAGTGCGTGGCCAGGAGAAGCATGCGTCCCCGCGGAGCTCCCTCCCTCCGCACCCGAAGAGCTCGGGCACTTTTCCGAGCGTGGCAGCTCTCACCCAGGGTGTCCCCTGGCACTGGGGACCTGGCTGCCCAGTCTGGGACACAGAGGGGCTCCTCCACCTCCTCCCCCACCACGCAGACAAGACCGGGAGGGATTTGCAGACAGTCTGTGAAAGGCATCACACCTCAGCCAAGCGAAGCTCTCCCAGCCCCGTCGCGGTCCTGGGATGCACTCCGTGATGGCAGCCTGCGTCCGAGGGCAGTGACGGCGATGTTGAGCTGTTTTCCGTATGAATGCTATAAATGCCTTTCCCTGAGCTGGCAGCTAATGAGTCATTTCTCAGACCGGGAGGGATTTGCAGACAGTCTGTGAAAGGCATCACACCTCAGCCAAGCGAAGCTCTCCCAGCCCCGTCGCGGTCCTGGGATGCACTCCGTGATGGCAGCCTGCGTCCGAGGGCAGTGACGGCGATGTTGAGCTGTTTTCCGTATGAATGCTATAAATGCCTTTCCCTGAGCTGGCAGCTAATGAGTCATTTCTCTGCTGCTTCCCAGCCCGCTCCGGGCGTCAGGAGAGACAACAGAAGAGCAAAGTTAGTGCTTGCAGAGAGGCTCTGCTCGCGGCTCCTGAAATCCCAGAGAGGGGGCCAGGAGGGTGGTGGCTGCCGTGCGAGGGACCGGCTGTGCCCCAGCAGTGCTGCCTGGAGCTGGGGGCAGGGAAAGCCGTCCTGTTCCCCTCCCAAGGGAGCATCCCGCATCCCGCACCCCCACCGGAGCCACGCAGGGACCAGCTGGGCTCCCCGTCCATAAAGGAAAGGCAGTTCCCTTCCCTTCTCTCCTTTCTCCCCTCTTTTTAAATTTTCCTACAGTGTCTTCTGGTCCTTCTGATGCCTGATTTTTTTTCCTCCCTTTCACCCACTCCCGTGGGTGCCCATCTCTCACAGGTGGCACCTCTGCCTCCAGGGACCGCACTCTGCCTTGCTGGGTTTCAACAAACCGGATCTATTCAGGAAGTGGGAAAGTAATTAAAGATCCTGCCTCAGAGTAACTAATTGCACACCATGCCTCTGGCCTGTGCAGCGCCTGAACGGTTTATCTGTGGATGGTTTATCCGCAGATGATTTATCCATGGATGGTTTATCCGCGGATGGTTTATCCATGGATGGTTTGACCACCCCCATGCTCAGAAGCGATTAACAAGGCGGCAAGGGAGCCACGGGGACGGCTCCGTCGCACGGCACAAGGACCGTCAGGGCCAGGGAGCGGCAGAGGAAGTGGGTTTGGAAAAAATAATACAAGTGGGAAGACAGGGAATGCTGCTCTCCAGAAAACCATAGCTGGATGCGGCGTTACTATAGATACCCGCGAAAAAATCCACCCCACTGCAACAGTAAAATCCTCAAAGAGAATCTCAAATGCAGGCACAATATTTCCTATTTCCCGTCCTCCTCTCACCTCTCTTTTAAAGAACAAAACCAAAAAAGGAGCAGCAGCGGCAGCAGCTCCAGACAAGAAGCGGCACTTGCCAGGCGTGCACAACCCCACGTCCATCTGGCCAAAGCGCTGGGGAGGGAAAGCAAGTGCAGTCACGAACGCCGGGCTGAAGGGGAGCGTGGCCCTCACAAGGAGCTGATGTGACAGCCAGGGGTCTGTTCTTACACCCGGCAGTGGCAGAGCGGTGCCGTCTCCGGCGCACTCGGGGAGGCAGGGTTTGGTGCCGGTTTTACCTCTTAAGAACATGAGTAACAAGATCTTCCCCCGACAACGTCGAGCTACGTCCCAGAAGCACAAGGTACCGAATGCAATGTCCTGCTGCGCGTTGCTGTGGAGCCCCAGAACCACCCGGGACAGGCAGAACCCCAGGAAGGAAACGGCTGGAAAACTTCAGTGGTGGTGGCAGGGAGAGGCTGGAGAGCCCCACGGAGCCCCGTTTCGCTGCCCGCGGGGACACGGGAAGCCCCTCACTACCTACCTTAGCAAGCGGGTCCCCGCGCTGTGTGCCCATCTGTGTGTGATGGCCAGAGGCGGTTCAGACGCGGAGTTCCGTGGCAGCCCTCCCAGTCCCTCAGGCTCAGCCCGCGAGCCCCAGCCCCTCTGCCTGGCTGCGGTTCATCTTCACGGGACGGTATTTTTCACCGGGGCAGGCTGGCAGGGCACCGGCCCCGTAAGTGAAGGCAGCGAGCCCGAGCCAGATGAGCAGGCAGCTCCGGCCCCAGCCCTCCCTTTAGAAACAGGCGTAGTGCAATTACACCGGCTTGAAATTTATTACGAGAAATCGATGTGATGGAATTTTTATGCCTTGGGTTAGAAAATCAACTCCATGACAAACAGCAAGAGACACCTCCAGCAGCCACGTTCACCTGCCATGCCGAGCCCTTTACCTCAATGCCCCCCCGCCCTTATTAAACCCAATCCCTCAAGATGGGCTTTTGATTTGACAACTTCCACCGAGTGGTCTTGATCTTTAAGTTAAGGGCTGTGAAAACCACCTTGGAAGAAAACTAAGCAGCAAGTGAACAATCGCTGCTCGTTAAACTTATTCTCCCTCCTACTCAGCCCGGGCTCCTGGGTTGCAGTCCTGACTCACCGCGCAGCCCAAGCCACCCCGCTCTGCTGACTCACGACCTCCCCTCACACGCGCGTTCCTCCGGCCTCTTTCCCGATGTGGAAAGGGGACAACGGGAGTCACCAAGGACCCTTTTCCACAACGCGCGTGCACGCAACAGGCAGCGGAGCCTGAAGACGCATCTCCTGTAGCTAAGATCCCTTATGGTCCCTATAGCAACTTGGGAGGCTCTCGACGGCGGAGCAGATGCGCAGGTGATGTCTGCTTGGCTTAAGGACAGGCAACACCTGGTAAGGAGAGAAAATAGCAAGAGAGACTATCCAGCTCTCCCCAAGACAAAATAAAACGAGGATTCAGTCACATTTTGGGCTCCATCACAAAATGCCTCAAAGTCTGAGCACAGAAGCCACAGCAGAAGTTAGACGCAATTAGGAGCGTGCCCGCGGTTCCGCAGCAAAACTCATTGAGTGCTTCTGGAGCTAAGCAACTTGGGATCGCAAATCTCTAAGTGTCTGCGGTACGCCTATCAGACCTAAGCAAATACTATTTTCTGAATAATATATTTAATGAGTCATGATGTTTGTCAAACACATGATTAAACAAAGAATTCCTGGCATTCGTGGGCTAGCTGAGCATCATATGAATAATGCATGACTTCGCCAATATATCTGGATATGAATAATTGTATCCAATATCTGACCAGCTCTGATATTTATTATGAATACAATCTATTTATTGCATATTACATGTATTATTTAAATGTAGGCGACTGTATTCTGCCTATTCCAATTTCCCCTGCAGCATTGCTCTGCCTCCCGCTGTCATGCACCCTGGCTTCCCACCACCGGAGACCGCGGCCGAGCTGCTGCGGCACGGCCGTGCTCAGCCCACAAACTGGGAGCAACGGTGCCTGCAGGCAGGGACTGGGAGCGGGGACTGCAGGGTGGGATTTACCCTGGTGCTGGCAGGGAACCTGCCCCCAAGCCCAGCCACCCCGGCCCTCTGAGTCCAGCGTCTTTCAAGCGGCTCTGAATTTGGCTCCTCTCAGGATGGTGGGTGGTTTCATTGCTGTTAAGCCTTGGGCTAGACTCAAGGATATTTAATTCAATGAATGGATGAGACCTTTCAAGATCCTCCCACCTGCTGCATTTCATGAAATCTGAAGTATCTGGTGTTTTCTGAAGGGGTTGATTCATTAACAAAATCCTGCTTGCCAGTGCAATTTGCTGGGCTGCCTCCACCTCTCCTTCACCCTAGAAGGTGGCCCTGCTTGGGGAGGTGAACCCCAATGGCTCCCAGGTCTTGGGTCCATCCCAGCAAAGTTGCTCGACCAGCTCGGACGAGGCCGCACGGGGATGAGGGGCAGGTTGTCAGGGCACGGCGTGGGGCCAGGGTATCGGGCAAGAAGGGATTCGTTACACTGCTCTCCAGGAGGCAGAGGATGCTCCTACTCCAGCCCCATGCTGGACATGTCCCACCAAGAGCCCAGGTGGGCAGGGAAGATTTTTGAGTGTTTTTCCAGCTTTTCCGCTGCATCACACACTGTCCAGGCAGCAGGGAGGCGAAGGTTGGCAGCAGCTTTGATCTTGACCATTATTTTTACATTAAAGAGACTTTGCAATCGCGTTCCCTGCCTCTCCGTGAATCTCAGCACCAAGGAGGCACCCGGGGAACGATCACCTCCCAAGACCAAGGGGAGCATCACTCATGCTCTTTCAACTACCAGCAGCTGCCTTGCAGGAGCCTCTCCTGATTAGCGCCAGGAAAGCCAGTGTCCCCACAGCTTTGAAGTCAGCTTTTCCTGGCGAACAAGGAGATATTTTGCCGTGATGATGGGTGGGCAAAGCGAAGCACCAAAGGCAGGACAATACACGGCACGGGAGATGCTTTCTGCAGGAAACGGCGCTGGGAAGGTGAAGGGCTGTTGCCACTGGTGTTATGGAGAGGCTCACAGAGGTGAAACAGCTCAGCCCACACCAAAATAAAAAATCCTCAGTGAGCCCCAGGCGCCAGGGACCCCAGCCCATCCATCCCCCCTCATATAACCCAAAGATCCCTCCCCAGCTGGGCAGTAAGGACACAATTCAGTAGGTGTCTAAATGAGGAGGTGCAACATTTCTCAGCCTTGCATCCTTCTACTCGATTAAATATCCAGTGTCTGGAAAGAAGAGAAATCCAAGCAAGGAATGAAAATAAAAGATGGATTTTTCTACCTTGTGGCTGGTTTGCAAGAAGTCTCATCTCATCTAAACTTGCCTCAGGATAAATAAAATCTCCTTTGCCAATATCTTCAACTGTGAAGATGAAGAGAAGAAAAAAGGGGGCTGGGGAATTGCTCTTAAGGAAAATGAAGAGCACTTGAATTTTGGGCTCTGGCTCTGCCATGCAAGATAAGAAATGGAGCCACGATGCTCAGAAGCATTGCTTTAGCAGAGGAATTCCCTAGGCCATAGGCAAGAGTCTGAGTTCCCACCCGAAATTCTGCCGAACCCATTGGGCAGGGCAGCTGAGCACACGCCATGGCCCGAGGGCAGGCTGGGTCCTGGTGCCGCAACGGCCGTTTGCGCCGGCGGCCAAAGCTCGGCATGGGAAGAAGCACCGAGCGCAGGGAAGGACACGGGGCCACCAAGGGTGTCCCTGCACCCACCCTGCAGTATGCTGGTTTCAGAGATGGGACTGAGAAATGTTTTTTTTCATTTGGACCTTTACACACCCATCTACATGTGGGACATTTTTTAAAGGGATCAGAGTCCTGACTAGAAAATTTATTGGGGTCCACACAAGAGAAGAGGCTGAAAATCCCTTGGGAAGACCCACCGCAGCCAGGGGAGGAGATGGCCCACATGACAGGCAACAGCCCCACGGCAGAGGTGCCAGCCGGGAAACCTTCTCCACCCAAAAGTTTGTTTCTTTTAATTCTTCCCCGGAGTCATTTCCAGGCAAAACCAAAGCCACAAGCCCCAGCCCTACAGCAAGCTCCACTTCACAAACTTCTCCACTTTTCTGCTCGCACAACCTTCCCAGGGAGATGGCAGAGCCACCTGAGCCCCTCTAAAAAACCATACCATCCAGCCCAGAGTTCACCAGCTTTTAGGTCATCTTTGGTGCACCGATTGCCATGGTAACACCGAGGATGCGATTTCCCTTTCTGCCCCAGGCAGGAAAAGGCTGGTCCTGCCCGCTGGCACACAGGGATGGGTGCTGCTGAGGTGCCCAAACCTTGAGCCTCGTTAGTACCGGGGTGGTGGGGCCGGGGGGTCCTGCGCCGCCATGTCGCTGGCAGAGACTAGGCTGTGCTAAATCCCACAGGATGGAGTCTGCTCCATCTGGACCCCAGCTCTATGCTTGGGGGTGAGGTGGGGATTCGCGTGGCCCCTGTGGTGCTCCTGGCCACGGGCGGCCCTCGTGGCAATGTCACTGTGGAGCTTGCCACCTCCGTGGGGACAAGCTCCAGCAAACCCCATCGGCTAGCTGCAAATGCTGGTGAGTCAGAACTGAGCTTGGATATTCCTCACCATGTGGAGAGGATTTTGATCCTTAATTATCACCTAATTCTCCAGGGTCGGCTGCCAGCAAGGAAATCTCAGTTGCAAAGCGCAGTCTTCATGCAGAGCGCTGGAGAGCCTGGGACCTCCCTGCAAAGTCGCAGCTCCGACGGGTGCGAAGGTGCGACAGGGATGGCTCTGATGGCACGGGAAGATGCCAGACCCCAGGGATGCTGCCCGTGCATGAGCAGATGAGGCTTCGCAGGGAGTTTCGCTCCCCGCAGAGCGCCCGGCTGGGAACTCGCACAGGGCACCCGCACCGCAGGCGAGCCCAAGGCTTCCCTCGCCTCCCCGGAAAGGTGCTCTTTGAAGCGACTTTGGGTAATTCGCCGTTAACCGACCACGCCAGCAATCTCCTGAGCAACCCGCGGAGCTCACAAGACAGAAACGCTGTCTCCGTTCAGCCATGTCCCCCACGGAGCGAGGGGTCCCTGTGCATTACCTGCAAGTGGGGTACAGGGAACCACGCATGGTGTTTAGCTTTGGGGGGGGGGCACACATAGCCCCATGTGCTGAGCCCTGCAGGAGCCCACAGCCACGCCTGGCTCCCTGCAAAGTGCCCGCAGTGCCCACGCCGGCAGGCAGGAGCAGGGATGTGCTAACGAGGGATTTCTGCAGGGAGAAGGGGAAATTCAGCCTGGCCCATGCACGTGTTTCTGGGGGCCCCCCCCTCCCCCCGCCATCCCTGCTGCTTCCCAGGAGCGGGCGAATGCAGCCCCTCCCCGGGGAGAAGCAGCTACCAGGGTCCCCAAAAGGTGGGGGTCAAGCCCTTCTGCTCCCTGGCACATTTCAGCAAACAACTCAGCCGAAAATCTCTCTACAAACCAATTTCCACGCTTGAAGAGGCTGAAAACTTCAAAGCCTGGAATGAAAAAAAAAACAAAAAAACCCACCAATAATAATAATAAAAGAGCCTTCCCAGCCCGACAAGCCTGCAGCACTTTGAGCATGACTAATATTTTCCATGTGAAATAATAATCCGCGGCACTATATTTCTCATCTCTATGCACATTGCGGATAACAGGTGGGCTCTGCCCAAATTCACCTCTGAGCAGGACCTTTTATAAAGCAGCTTTGCACTCTCGTCATGGGGAAAATCATAAACTCCCAGGGTACTGCAAATAAGGAGGGTCAGATTCCAGCCACGGAGCTGACAAAGCCCCGAGTCCTTGGAGTAGGATATAAAATCCTCCTTTGTTTGACAGCAGATCTTACAGCAAATCCTCCTGCATAGCAATCCCAGATCAGAGCGGTGATGGAGCGCCCGAGGCCGCCCAGCACCCTCCCCGGGCAGGATCCATCCGCAGGCTCTGGGTCAGCCCCTGCCCTCACCCAGCTGGGACGGTGCCCAAGACACGAAAACCTTTGCATTCCCAAAGGAGCAGCACTTCCAAGCCCGCACGGCTCCACCGTGCTGCCCCTGCCCACCTCCAACCCCACACAACGTCCCCCAGCCCCCGGGAGATGCTGCCAGGAGATGCTGAATGTGCAGACACCAAACCAAACCAAGAGAATAGAATGCATACATACAAACGCTCTTCACTTAGTTTGACAATAATTCACAGGTGCCTCCAGCTTTCTTCCAAAAAGCTCAGCCTCGAGAGGGGCCCAGAGCTCTCCCGGGGAGATTTTCACAGCAAGACATGACCGCAAAGCCTTTAACGCGTGCCCGTAAGAGCTGGGTGTGAAGAGGTTAAAACCGAACCGGAGCCCAGTGAGTGAGTTATGAAGTTAATGACAATACAGGACCACGCTCCTCACCGGCCATTCCAGCCCCGGCTCCTGTAAATCAAGCGTCGGTCACCGCGGCGGTGATGGATGCGTGCGGCACGCGCGCACGTTATAGGCTTTGGTGGGTAATAACTCTGCCGCCAGCAGCCACCGGGACTGTCCTGTGGGGCTGGGGTGTGGGGGTCCCCGGGAGCTCCCTGGGATGGGGAGGGATGCCTCGGGTGGTCCCGAGGGGATGGGAAGGGACACGCGTCCCCCCCAGTGCCGGGCTCAGCACCCCGCTCACCCCCGCCCGGGGCCCTACCGCAGGGTCTTGCGGATCATGTCCTCGTCGGTGATGCCGTAGTAGGTGAGTGTCTCGTTCCAGGTGGGGTTCAGCGTGTTGCGCAGCGTTTTGGTTCTCAGCTTATTTGCCTGGAAAAGCAAAGGAGACGGCGGTCAGTGGGACCCAGCCCCAGGCGATCGTTTGGGCACCGACTGCGCCCGAAGGGCAGGGACAGGGGAGAAAAGGAAGCACAGTCTGGGGACGAAGGGGCAACTGGTGCTGTTGCCCTTCTGCCCCAGCACCATAACCCAGCCGGTCCTCGATGGGGTGCCCCCAATCCACCCTGACCACAGCAATAACCACAGCGGCAGAGACAAGGCGACTTGCTCATTTATAAAGCGATCCAACCCCGCATCCCGCATCCTGGAAACAGCCAGCAAAATGGGAACCTTGGCAGAGCGCAGCAAGAGGACGGGGATTTCATTTATGCAGCAGGAGAGAGAGAGGGGGAAAAAATGTCTTTGCAGGTTCATTAAAAAAATACCAATTTGCTGTTCTGGCTGTTTATTTGCATCCTGCTCCCAGCGCAGCTCCTGTTCCTGCCTGACTCAAAATAACTTCCTTGATTCGCATTTTGTTAGCACTGGCAGCTCCTTCCAGCGCCGCAGCTCTGCAGAGCGGGAGGCCAGGGACAGAGGCAGAGCAGAAGCAAAGGGCTGCGCCTCCAGACAGGGCCACTCCACCAAACCCCAGCCTGGGACAGCCTGACAGAGCAGCAATCGTCCCTCTAATTAGGTGTAAAGTCAGAAAGTTCATTCCCTGCTTCAGCCACCGCTTGGCGTAAGGAACGCTCATGAAATCAACACTTCAAAGTTGTCTTGAATTTATTTATTTATGGGAAGCTGCTACATTCCCCGTCTTTGGGTCACCAGCCCTGTGCTGGAGGTGAGCGAGATGTGAAGCATGGGGTGAAGAAAAGAGCTTGTGCTTGCAGCTAAGGGGGGGTCACCTTGGTGGCATGTCCTTTCCCCGCCAAAAGCACCCCAAACACACGACCTCTTCCAGATGGCCTAGGCACGGCCACTGGTCGGAGGTGTTGCCGGTGCAGCGGAGCCGTTGAGGGACCACGGCGCAGCATCTCACTCCCAAATGCTTTGTGCTGGGTTTGATCTCTCGAAGATAGAGAAAGCCTCTGAATTTTGTGCTGTGTTTTCAGTTAGCTTTCCAAAGCCGTTTCTGCCTCTGAAAGAACCGGGGCCCCGTGCAGTGCTGCAGAGGCTGGCTGAGGAGCTGTGAAACGCCAAGCGCCACGTTAGCAGGAGGATACCCCCGGAGCAAGGCAGGATGCTCCAGGAGCCGACCGGGATGCAGGGGCAGGGACTCAATTAGCAGCAGTGTCTAACGCCCTGCAACATCTATTGCTTTTCACATCGCTCGGGCAGGAGGTTGTCCGCAGCGCAGGAGGGGAAGCCGCCGGCCGGGCTGTGCACGGGCAGCCAGCGCCGCTGCTCTTGGGCACCAGCCTCGCAGAGTCGATCCCTGCGTGCCCGGAGGCACGTCCAGGGGCAACAGCAGAGCGATGCAAACCAAAGGAGACTGCAGACAGGCGCTCTCACTTATGGTCTGCCGTCACCGTTGATTTAATACCTCATTTGCCTTAAATCTTTCCCAATTTTGTAAAGTTGCTTCAAACAAGGCACTTTGTCATGCCAGGTTTCATCCCACGCCTATTTTCTCTCCTTCCTCGGTGATACTGTGGCCGCCACGCCAGGCTCCAGCCAGAGCAGCAAGATACGTGTCAGAGAGGGAGCGTAAAGCCTGCTGGGGGGTGACAAGGACGGCAGGGGAAGCGCCCTGATGGCACCCGCTGCCTGCTTGGACCCACTGGGGCCTGATCCTGGGGCTGCGGGGGGGTGGGAAGGAGAGCAGGTTTAGATAAGAGGGCAACGTGATGGGCATCACTCAGCAGCTAGCGCTGCCCTGCGCTAAGGAGCCAAATTAAATCAGAGGAATGGAGCTCTGGGGGCACCTTCTTCTCCCATCTGGAATGATTTAATAGTCAGTAATCAGCTCACGTGGAGAGTTGTGCATGAGGCGAACGAATCCCACCCTGCTTCCCGTGGCGCTGGCCTCTGCCGCAGGTGCCTGAGAGCCCAAGGCTGGGACAGAAACACCCGAGGGACCTGGGGACCATCCTGCTGCTGGAACATCCAGCCCAGGACACATCTGTGATCCCGCCCCATCTGCTCACCTCTCCCAGAGCAGATCCGGGCGGTGCTGCTTGGAAACAAGGCACATAGACGGCAACCACGGAGGCAGAGGGATGTGGGGGGTGAGGAGAGGGTCCCCCCACTGCCTTGTGCAGTCTGCAGCCCCCGTGCTCAGAGCTTCCCTCCCGCCTCTCTGGTCTCCATCACCTCCAGCAGAAATGCTAATCAATGCATTTGCAAAACATGGAAATGACAGATAATATCGCTGATGAAAGTGCTCCTGGCTCTCCTATTTCCAGCGGAACTTGAAATGTGGTTAAAAACTCCCTCTACCGCCCTGAACATCATGAATTAATTCAACTGAACCGTAACAAGTAAATATACCTCCCCCAAAAAGGTCTTTCCTTTAGTGTAAAATAAGAGTGCAATTAATATTCATAACACATACATTTAGCATTTAAATTCAACATCCCCATCAGTTACACCAAGCTCTCACCACACATCAATATCTTTAATTACTCTTCTCTCCAGCAAGCGCTGTACCTAAGTAGATGGAAATATTTCCCTTATGATTTATACATTGCTTTATTATGATCTGAGGGGTTTTAAATGCAAAAGAAAAAGGGGGGAGGGGAGAAAAAAGAAAAAAAGGAGCTGGTTTGTTTATAGCTCCAGATCGTTTCACTCAGTGTTTCCCGGGGGCTTCCTGAGCTCCCAAGGGCGAGGAGCCGGGGCTGGCACCCAGCTCCCAGCAGTGCTTTACTGGAGAGCCACTTGCTACCTCTGCAAGGACATTTTTAGCCCCAATGCTTATCTCCGGCCGCTGCTCTCTCCTGGGCAGGAGACTCGAGGGCTGGTTGCAGCAACCAGGAGCCCCTGGATGAGGAGCTTCTTCCCAGGAAACCTCCCGGGTCCGATTTCAAAGGGAAAGGTGCAGCCCCAGGAAGGGAAGGAGAAGCAAAAAGGCATCTCACCTTACTGGCTCCGGGAAGCAAGTGCAATTTGACGTATGGATCGGCCAAACCATTATGGTCCATTGGCTTCAGGCCCTGGATGGAGAGGAAACAGCAAAATGCAGGAGTTGTTAGGACAATGGCAAGACGCTGGACAGGCGGGGTGGCTCCGCTGAGCCCATCGGCCGATGCCTGTTTCCATGGGACGTCGTCAGTCCATGGAGTAAAGGCACAGCTTCCCCGGAATCGGAGAAGGAGGAGAGTTCGGTTCGGTGCAGGATCCGGGCTGTGCAGCAAAAGCCGAGCACGCTCAGCGTTCAAACGTTGTCTGCGGTCTGTGCCGAGGAGGGGCTGCGGGAAGGCTCCTCACCCGCACGTGGCATCGGCCGCAAAGCACCTCTCCATTCTTCCAGCAGCTGGCTCTGACACCCTGATCGCAATTAATTTGGGGGTAAAGTAAATCAGCACAGTGATTTTCAAGGTTTAAAATTACAGGGTTTTGTCATTTAATAATTGCTTATGAGCAAACACACACCTCTGCTGTTGTGGTGTTACTTTTAAGCGCTCCCAGAGGGTGTGATAGCACCTACCTACTCTTCGTTATTAAGGCGCAGCTGAAGGAAGAACAGCTTTCAGACCCGCGGGAGGCTGTCGCCAGCCGACTGCCGCGGCATTTGCAAGGAAATCTGGGGGTACCGGAGCACAAACGCAAGGAACCGCTCGCTGCGGTCATTTCTGATGGATTTTCTACGAGACCCTCACAGCCCTCTGTGGTTTCTACAAGTTTCTACGAGACTCTCACCAGATGATGTGGATCATGTTTGTTAGAGTGACGCTCTGGAGTTGATCCTGCTTCGGGCAGAGGGAGGAGACAAACCTGCTCTTCTTCTAAACAATCAGCGGGCTGAAAATTATCCAAGGGTGATGCACAAAGCCAGCCCAAAGCCATAACTGCACAGTCTGCATGGAAACAAACTCGGTGGCGTAGGGAAGCAACAGAGGAGCATGAAAAATGGAGCCTAATTTTTACCAATCCTTAATGGAAATGGTAACGGCTACACCACGACAGTCCTTGGATTATTTCCAGCCTAGCTGCGGGATCCCTGCAGGAGTTCTGTATCTAGGCTGTCTGAAGGAATCCTCTGCCTGGATCAGAGGAGGGTTTCTCTGCAGAGGTACCCATCCAACCCCGGCTCCAAACCGGGCATGGGAACAGGCTGGGTGATGCTAAAGACTCGTCAGGCCCGTTGTGTGATGAGCACAGCACTGGGTGCCCAGGATTAATGAGCGTGTGCAGCTGCCGCGCGTCCACCTGGCAGGAAAGCAGTCGTACGGGCTGCTGGTGGAAATGCTGCGTGCGATGAAAGTGTAATGATCGAGGGCTGGGTTTGGGCAAAGCAAAGAGAGGAATGCTGGGGGGAAACTGCTTCCATACTTTACAGGTAGGAAATAACGCATCCGGCTTAACCCACAGCACCGAGGCAGCCCCCCGGGCCGTCTCCATCCCACCCGGCCCCGAGCTGCACAACTTGGTCGAGGGTCTGAGCCGCTCCTGACCTTGGTGAGGGCTCTGCTTTGGAGCGTGCTGCCCCGAGGCAAGGGAGACCAAATGGTGCCCAGCAAAGAGGATTTTGCTTCTAAAGCAGAGCCAAAAGGATAAAAATATCGGCAGCGAATGGAGGTTAAACGGCTCTGCTTTAACTGCAGCGCCTCTCCGGTGACGCCCCTGGCCCAGTGAAAGAGGAAGGCAGCAGAGGATGGGAGAAAGGTGCT